AACCTTGAGATCCTGCAGCATTGACTGGTGTGGATCTTGCTGTTATCGATGCGTTGGCTAAGACCCAGAGAAAGTCGTGCAAGCACGTTTCCCTCAGCAGCTTCCTCATCAGTGCTGGCCACGTGTGACTTTGTGTTTTATGTCATCCACGTCGCTTTCGTGCTGACAGGGTGCAGACTGAGCCCTTTTGTACTTGAGTGTTCAAGCTTCCCTGTGCATCGATCTCGTGGTCCGTCTCAGGCTGCAGGGGCAATGGGGGGAGCCGCTGGCACTTACCCACCCCCAGAGCCCACTGCGGTGTCTCAGCGGGGTGGGCGTTGGGTTGCGGGGGAGGCTGTGGAACGGGGGGCAGACGAGGCTCCGCTCCCTTTGGACTGCCCTGCTGCTGCACTCTGTCAGAGCAGCACACCTAGTGCCGCTGCCGATTCACTGCCTGTGTTGAGCCCCGCTGCGCATTCAGCCCAGGCCGCTGGTTTCGGTGTGATCAGCGCCGTCGCTGACCCTGCCCCGCTCTCCGTGTCCGCCGCGAGCAGTGAAGCTCCACCTCCAGTCCCAGAGCCCGTCTCCGCGTCTGAGCGGTTTGTGCTTCGTCGTGTGCAAAAGGCTCTGAATCTCGAGGAAGACGAGGCTCCGCTCGTGCAGCCAAGGCGCGTGCGTTCCAGTCGAAAGCGCATCGCCTTTTAAGAGCCGCTGGAGGCAGCCCGACTACCCTGGGGGCGGGGAGCGGGGGGCTGGACGAAGACGATTCAGACTAGTGCCACGGAGGCATGGCCTCGATTGTGGCGATAGCGCGTCCTCTCTGTCTCTGCCTGGCCTCTCTCGAGGCCGCGTGCTCTGTGCCAGCAGCGACTCGCCGCTGTTGCTGGCCATTTTCACTTGGGCTAGCCATCAACCTGGCCAAGTAGCGGCTGCATCCTCGCGGGGGAGACAAAAATCCTTCTCCTCCTCCTCCTCCTCCTCCTCCTCCTCCTCCTCCTCCTCCTCCTCCTCCTCCTCCTCCTCCTCCCCCTCTCGGTGGAGCTCCCTAGAGGGCGACGAAACGTGCGAGGGATGTGCCGAAATGGCGTGGGTAACCATGCGGACTGTGCACTGGGGCCGTTGGTGGAGCTCCCTGGATGACTACGAGACGTGCGAGGGGTGTGACGAAATGACGTGAGTGACCATGCGGGCTGTGCCACAGCGATCTTCGGTGGAGCTCCCTATGGGGGCCACGAAGCGTGCGAGGGTGTGCCGAAATGGCGCGGGTAACCTTGTGGACCATGCCGCTAGGACCTCTGGTGGAGCTCCCTGGGGGCCACGAAACGTGTGAGGCTGGTCGAAATGGCGCTGTTAAACGTGCGGACTGCGTCAGTGGGGCCTTCGGTGGAGATTCCAATGGGGCCACAAAACTTGCAAGGAGGGTGCCGAAATGGCGCAGATACACATGCGAGGCCTTCGGTAGAGCTCCCTAGGGGGCCACGAAACGTGTGAAGGGTGTACCGCAATGGACCGGAATACGTATGCTGACCCATTGGGGCCACGAAACGTGTGAGGGGTGCAATGCTAATAACGAGTATGAAGATGCATGGTCCTAAAGACGCTGATGACGATGATGACGACGGCGATGATCCTGCCAAGAGTGAGAAGAAAAAGATGATAAAGATGATGGTGGTGACAGTGATGGTGATCCTGATGATGGCGATGAAGATGGCGATTACGGTGGTGGTGATGGGAAGTGAGAAGGGTAGGATGAGAAGGAAGTGACGGGATGGAGTGGGGGGGGCGAAGATGAGGGGGAGGAGGGGAGGAGGAGGAGGAGGAGGAGGCGGCGGAGGAGGCGGAGGAGGACGAGGAGGAGGAGGAGAAGCAGGGAGGTGTGGAGCGCGGAGCTGCGGATTCGAAACGAGGACCAAACACACAAGCAAGTTGGGAATGAAAGCCCAAACCTTTCGGAACCCCGCGCGGCTTTCCCGGAGCCGCGCTGAGCCTTCCTCCCTGGCGTGCGAAGAGCGCAATGGGGCGGCGCGGGAGGCGCCGCCAGGGAGGCCCCAGCGCGGATCCAGGAGGTCCGCGCGGAGCTCGGAAACCCTCTGTGTATGGAGTGCGTTCTCAGTCGAGCACCACGGGCTCCGTCAGCACCCTCTCGACGTCAAGGGCTCCCGAGTCGCATGTCCAGGTGGAGCCCAAGGGGTCCGATGCGGTGTGCTCGATGGTCCTGTCGTCGAAGTTCTTCTTCACGAGGGCGCGTAGGGTGATGACGTCCTTCCTGAGGCGGCTACTCTCGTCCCTGTGCTGCGCGACCTCGCTCTCGTGCAGGTGCAGCAGGTAGTCCTTGAGCTTGGACATGTGTTCCAGCGTTGAGATGAAGTCTGGTGGCCGCACTTGCACATCCATGGCGAACTGCGGCCGATCACAGCGCAACTGGAGGGTCAAGTTTTCTGCTCTGATCGTGCCCCGTAGGCATCTGGAGCCTGGAGCCTTGAGCGAGAACGTCTGCGGATGAGGAGAATGCGAGTCGTGGAGGTTTTGGAGGTGGTCCAGGGGATCGGAGGGGAAGTAAAGTAGTATCGGAGGGTGTTGGGCAGGGCCTCTTTTTTGCCTTGAATGGCCCCAAGATGGCCAGAGAAAATCCCAAATGGCCTCCAAGATGGCACAAGACAACTCAGGATGGCTCAAGAAGGGCTCCACGGTGCCTCCAAGAGGTCCCAAGATACCTCCAAAACGGCTCCGATTGGCCACGGAACCGCGTTTCGTTGCAACTTCGCCTTTTCGCTTCCAACGACCTTCCGAGACCCCAAGGTGGCTCCAGGATGACCAAAGGGATCCCCAAGAGGGCAAAAGACGCCCCCAAGAGCGCCCCAATAAGGCTCCAAGAGGCGACTTCCATTAGGAGACTCCCCCGTCGCGCAACGCCCAAACAATTGAAACATCATCAGGTGTTCAATGAGTTTGGCATCTCGGCGGCATCCTTGGGAGGCTTCTGGGCCAACATGGCTCCAGGATGGCTCTAGATAGCTCAAGAGTGTCTCAAAGATGGCCAGGGATGGCTCAATTTGTCCTCCAAGATGCCTCCAGAAGGACACAAGACGCCTCAACTCGCCCACGGAGCCTCTCAAGGCCGCACCAAGAGGCCGGAATGCTCAAAACCTTTGAACCATTGAACAACGATGAAAGTATGCACTCTCGCCTTTTCGTTTCCGATGACCGTCCGCGGCCTCAAGATGGCTGCAAGATGGCCCAAGAGAGCCCCAAGAGGGGCCCGTGAGGGCTGCAAGACGGCCCAAACCACGCCCAAGAGCGCCCCAAGAGCAGCCCAAGAGGACCTCAAGAAGCGACGTTTCGAGCCCATGAGGGGGGGGGGGCGCACTTATCGCCGCCGCCCCCGTCTTTGATCGATGGCCCCCAAGATGGCCCCAAGAGGGCCCCAAAAGCCAGGCATGCATGGCTTGACCCCGCTTGGGACCGCTGGGCCTGCTTCGGTTTGACGACTGCCCCCCTTGGAGGCCTGGAAGTGGGCATCAACACCAACACAGGGGTTTGCAGAAACCGCGGAAAGATGATCCACCAGGGGACGAGGATCTAAATATTACCGCCATCGCCGAGATCGGAAGCATCCTCCATTGGTGGAAACACACCGTCGATCTTGGTGTTGGTGTCAGCCTCTAGGCCTCCGACCCCTCTTTGTTCCAGTCCATGCTTCTACACTGAAGAAAAAACGCATGTTCTCACGATTCCGTGAGTCGTTCGTATGACAAGGTTGGGCCGTTCTTATGATACGAGAGGGTCGTTCATGCGATAAGGTGGATTGTTATGACGACAGCTGTTCTTAAGGGCCAGCCTGATAGTAAGAACGGCCCAGTGTTTAATCACACGAACGGCGCAGACGTTTCTTTCGAACGACGTGAGTTCCATGATGCACAGATGACGCGCGCCCACCTTTTGAACACCGCAGAGTTCCTACACTGCCCTGACCTGTGCAACTCGGCTACACGTAAGAGCAACCCTACGCAAGAGTGACCTTCGGTGCGCGACTTTCGGCGGCCGCGGGGAGGCCGAACCGGAGCGCACAAGCTGCTGCTATCGCATCTCACTCAGCAATCTGGGGACCCCAGTGTACCCGCACCAAAGGTCACTATGGCGAAAGGCCACTCTTACGCATAGCCGAGCAACTCGCTGGGGCATCGCTGCCGCATGGGCCGGTGGGGACCCGCGAGGCGTCAAAGAATACTGGGCGGGCGCCCCGCGAGCGCCGCACCGTGCAGGGAGCCCTGCAGAACACACCTAAAATCCCACTGCAAGGACGCAATTCCCAGGATCCTTTGCCTCCTCCTCCTCCTCTTCCTCCTCCTCCTCCTCCTCCTCCTCCTCCTCCTCCTCCTGGCAGGGATGCAAGAAGACCCTTGGGGTCACATTTGCCACGTTCCTGATCGCGTAGGGGGGCGGGAAGTCAGAGGGAGAAGCCCTTCTCAGAAGGCGGCGGGGTTTCTCAGAAGCCCTCGCGCCGTCTGATAACTTTTCTGCGTCTTTGCGGAAGGCTTGGAAAACATCCCAGAAGGCTGAAGGCCCTCCGAGCCTTCTGGAAAGGTCCGCCCCCTCTCACTTCCCCCGAGCGCGCCGCCGAGTTCAGGGCTCCTTGGACGGATGGACCGAAAAAGCAGGGATGCAAGGGCAGTCTGGACGAAGCACCCCATATTTACGATGGATTTCGACTTTAAGTGCTTCAAGTGCGGCGGAAGGCTCACGTACCAGACCCATCTTTCCAGCAACCAAGTTTGGGGCGCGGCCCAAGGAGGCTTCGTGATAGCCTCAAGACGGCCCACGGTGGCCCCAAGGCGGCCCAAGCTTGCCCGAAGACGGTTCCAGATACCTCCTAAGAGGCCGCACCAAAAGGCCCTCCAGGAGGCCCCCGAAAAACCAGAATCCTTTCCGAATCTCGTGAATGCAGCATTCAGCGTTATCGTACTTTTGCTTCCCATGGACCTCCGTGGTGCCAAAAAGGCATTGAAATGGTCGATGTGGACCCACACAATTGGAGTCACTACGCAAATCCACTCAAAGGAATTCCATGCTAAAGCTGCACGAAAGGATCCCATGCGGCGCCCCAAACAATACAAAACCATATGCAAATCGCCTGCAAACACGGATCCTCGTGTGACGCCGCGAAATAATGATGTCATGAGTGATATACGCGAAAGACACCACAGCCGTAAAACCCAAACACAAGGATTTCCGTGGAAAAGGGAGCCAGGCAAACATGGAGCCACCCAGCAAATGGCAAAAACAAAGCATAATTATACTTGCTGCGTGTTTGATGTATTGCCCCCCGCCCCACAGAAACGCAAACCATGAACAACAACAGTAAAGTCCCACGCCAAGTCGTTTTGCAACTCTGAATGACTCCAAGCGTTGTCTGGATATGTTTCAAAATCAAAATGTCCTGGCGAAGGACCCAACCATATGCAGTTGCGAGTACCGCAATTGTGAATATCCTCTTCGGTGGTGCCCAAGAACCACATGAGGGGCGTGCCGAAATGTGGGGGGGGGGCTCACAACGCGAAGGAAAAACATGTGTCTAATTACGAGAGAAAAAAACGCGGGCAAATCTGAGCGCGAGCGAATATAAGTGTGAATGAGTGCGCGCGCGAGCGAATATATTTGCACGAGTGCGATCATGGCTACGCCTCGTGAAATTGCATACGAATGTGAATGGTTCGGGCACGCCTGTCTGCGCGCTCGCGACGCTAAGCGCGGCGGCCGCTGAAAACTTCCGCGGGAACCCTGGCGGCAGCGCCCGCGCGCCGCGACGCCCATGTCGGCGCGCCCCTCGCGAGAATCGCGCCCGTTTCCTTCCCTTCTTTCCCTCCCTCTTTGCCCGCGCGCTCCAAAGTCCAGAGCTGCGGGCGCAGCGCGGCGCGGAGTCCCCGCGACGCGCGCCAATCGCCACGCGCGCGGGTCGTCCGCTGCGCGGAGCAAAGGGAGCTAGCTGGCTAGCTGGCTGGCCGATTGCGGGCAAGGCTCTGACCGCCGGGCAGAGCGACGACGGGCGAGCGAGGCGCAGGGAAGAACGCGGCACGGAGTTCCCGCGACGCGCGCCGGCCGCCCCGGGAGGGCCCCAGCGACGCGCGCGGGTCGTCCGCGGCGCGAGGCCGAACAATTATTGGGGGGGGCGCTCCTCAGGTCAGGCCTCGCGGATAAACTCGGTGAAGCCAAGCTCCCTGGCGCGGGCCGTCGCCTCCCTCTTGCGCCGCTTCGTGCGCGCCGCAAACTGCCCCGGCTGCTTCCGCAAGCCCACCGGCGGCCCCGCCAGGAAGAACTCGGCGCGCGGCGCCCGCATGAGCAGGAGGTCCTGGTGGCGCGTGGCGCGCGAGAGCAGCGCGTAGAGCTCCAGCCGCCAATCGTCGTCCTCCTTCTTGCCGTTCCCGACCTCGCGGCGGCCGCGGTCCAGGATCGCGCCTGGGCGACGTCGGCCGAGGGAGCAGCGCGCCGGACAGCCGACGGCCCAGGCCCAGGAGCGCGGCCTGCCCGGACAAGCAGTTCGCAATCACGTGGTCGGCCACGTTCCCGCGGACGCGGAAGATCCCCGGCGCGCCCACGGCCGCCGGCCCGCATGCCGCGGGGCGATCCGGAGCCGCCGCCGGACGAGGACGACGACGGCGACGACGACATCCACCAGGCCACTCCTCCACCGCTCGTTTACAGCGACCACAGCGAGCGGAAAGACCCTCGCTGGTGGAATGGAATCTCCCGCGAATTCAAAGCAACATACATGCGGGGGGGAGCGGGCCAACTCCTCCTCCTCCTCTGCCTCTTCCTTCTCCCCAGAGGTCTGGAGCTGTTCCCTGAAAACTTGAATGTGGCGGACGCATAATGGCGGTGGCATTGGCGCCTTCGGTGGGGCCCCCGCATGGGGCCAGGAAGCGTGTGAGGGGTGTGCCGAAATTCATGTGGGGGACGCATGCGGGCGGTGGCACTGGGGCCTTCGGTGGAGCTCCATATGGGGCCACGAAGCGTGTGAGGGGTGTGCCGATATGAGTGTGGGGGACGCATGCGGGCGTTGCCACTGGGGCCTTCGGTGGGACTCCCTATGAGGCCACGAAGCCTGTGAGGGGTGTGCCGAACTGGGTGTGGGGGACGCATGCAGGCGGTGCCTCTGGGACCTTCGGTGGAGTTCCCTATGGGGCCACGAAACGCTGTACTGGGTGGGTGAAACGCAGGGAGCAAGGGCCGTGTTGGGTGGTGGCGGACGCATGCGGGCGGCGCCACTAGGACCTTCAGTGGAGCTCCCGATGGGGCCACGAAGCGCTGTACTGGGTGGGTGAAGCGCAAGGAGCAAGGGCTGTGCTGGGTGGTGGCTGACGCATGCGGGCGGTGCCACTGGGACCTTCGGTGGAGTTCCCTACGGGTCCACGAAACGCTGTACCGGGTGGGTGAAACGCAGGGAGCAAGGGCTGTGCTGGGTGGTGGCGGACGCGTGCAGGCGGTGCCTCTGGGACCT